GTGAATTTCTATTTATCTAGTGTGAAGGCGGACAGTTTCTGAATCCTAGCTGTGCTTCTTATTATGGGGCTTTGGAACACATACAATTTTGTGGCAGGAAAATTTATTGAAATAAATATTGACATTCTCCATATTCTGCTCATCATGCCCTTTGTAAACAGGAAATGTGGCATTTTCTTGCTTCAGGGCTTTTCTTTGTTGTTGCTAGGGTTCTAACCCAGGCCCTTGTACTCACTAAATACAGTCTACCACTGAGCTATACTTTAGCCAGATCCTAAGGGTGTTTCACAAAAAAAAAAAAAAGCAGAAATTTCTGCATCCCACTGATGTGTGTTTTTGACTACTATGGTATTTGCTTAATGATGACTTTCTATTTCTTTCTACACTATATTTATTAATTGGAATTCTACTCTAACAGCTGTGTCTCTGCTATATTTAACCCATTATTTGTTTAAAAACTAGATATATTTTCATGCTTTAAAACATATTTATTTTTATGTGTATGAATGTTTCCCTGCATGTATGTATTGCAACACATGTGCCTGGTGCCTTTGGAGGCAGGTGTTGGATCAGCTGGAATTGCGGATACAGGTGGTAGTGAGCTGTGATATGGGTGCTGGGAACCAAACCTGGGTCCTCTGTAAGAGTAGCAAGTGCTTTTAACCATTGAGTCATCTCTCCAGCCCCTATTTATTTTTAACTCTAAGTCTCAGGGATGGCTATTTGCCAAAGTATTGCAAACCAATACTAAACCAATATGACCACCATCTAAATTTTTAAAAATTTATTATCGTTAGTGTGTGTGTGTGTGTGTGTGTTGAGAGAGAGAGAGAGAGAGAGAGAGAGAGAGAGAGAGAGAGAGGTACATGTGGGCAGGCACATCCCATGGCACACATGTGGCAGTCAAAGGACAACTTTGTAGAGTCAGTTCCACCTTTCTGTGGTTCTGGGGATTGAAATCAGGTCCCTCAGGCTTGCGTAGCAAACTATTTACCAGCCCAGGATCATTATTCTGTTGTTCAAATTGTTTCAGTTTGAGCCATTATATTGGCTCTTATTTACCTCTGACTAGCAACCCCCTCCACCCCTTATACTGAACCCCCAGGATTTAGTTTATTCTTTCAGTGTTTGCTTGGGATTAATCACTCCATTAAGGATTCCTGGTTTACTTTATGGGAGAATGGTAGCTAGAAACCAAATCTGGATACTAGTGTTATTAATACTATGGAATCCTTGCTTCTAGGCTCTCAGTGGGAATGTATATATATCCATACATATATATGCATCTCTCTCTGTGTCTTTGTCTTTGTTTCTCTGTGTGTGTGTGTCTCTTTCTCTCTGTTGGGTTCCTCTTAATGGGTTTATTTCAACTGGAGCTTTTAAGACAGCATGTGCAGAGTATGTGGTTTATGTCAAAGTACTCTGCGACTGATGTACCAATAAATGACCAGTGTGTGCATGTTGTCAAGGAAAAGGGGTCCTGTCTATGTCTGAAGCAACATAATGCAGAATAAGGGTATGAATTTGTGAGACCACCTCTATATGAAACTAACAGTAGAAACAACATTCCTGAACCAAAGTTCAGTAGGAAAAAAATGAGAGGCCCACATGAGGGTAAATAGTGTCTTTTCTGTACCAATTGCAGATATTAACAACAAAAATTACTGACCGAACTACAAAATGGCTCCAAATTTTCAAACTTGCACTTTACCCTCAATCAGAATTCTCAGTGTAGATGACATTTAACTTTAGGAAAAGATGTGAACAGCTTATGAGCAACATATTATTTGGAGGAGGAAAGGGAGCATCATATATCATTAGAATTTTGTAAAAAAAATGGAAAAACCTTGATATAACATGATAAATGATGCTGATACAAAGTTTGGTATCAATTAGAGGCCAGTTGTTTACTCTGGCTAGATATCAGTAGTACATGGTGTCAACCTTTGCCCAACTCAGATTTCTAGGGCAGCACAGTCACTTCAGGCATTCCTACCAGTTGGCACCTGGCTCAATGGCTGATTTAAGAAATTGGAAAAGATAATACTATAGCCACAAGAACACCCTCCACATCCCTACTTACCAAGGCAGAGTTGCTTCTGTATCCCTGCCAACTGGAATTTTCTCTTCCTTCCTTATCATGCCTCTTCATGAATAATTTTAGCTTACCCCAAATGAAGAACAGTGCTGAGTGGAGAATGGGAGTCAATTAGCAGTCAGGTTGTGTATGAGTTCACATGATAGGTTTATACACCTTGAGAGTAACTGGAGGAAAGCTAGGACATGAGCTAACAGGAAATAAAAGGAGCAATTTTAATGCGGGAGTAGTGACAACAATTAGACAAGGAAGGCTCATCTGGGAGTGTGAGGCAGGAAGGCTGCTATGAGTTCAAGGCCAACCTTGGCAATAGAGTAAGACCCTATGTCCTAACCCCTGCCCAACCATCTCAAAAGCCAAAAATCATATTTTCCATTTTTCTATCATTTCTATACATGCCTTTTATAATGCAAAAATGAATTTTATGTTTGAGACAGGGTCTCCCTGCAGCCCTAGCTGGCCTGGAACCAGGCTGGTCTCAAATTCACAGAGATCTGCCTGCCTCTGCCTTCCAAGTGCTGAGGTTAAAGGTGTGTACCACAATACCTGGGAAATTTTGTATTTTAAGTGAATAAATTCTACAAAGAAATCAAAACAGGCTACAGGGAATCAATTCGCATTCACTAGGCTAATTCACATTTTAAAAACAGAATGCCATGTTCTGATTATTTAGCTATGTTCTAAGTATTCTAAGAAGGTTAAGAATCAATGATCAGGGGCTGGCAAGATGGCTCCATGGGTAAGAGTGATTGTCAGCAAGACTGATAACTTGAGTTTGATCTCTTGGATCCAAATGGTGGAGAGAGAACTGACTCCTGAAAGCAGTCCTTTGACCTCCACAGGTACACCGTGGCAGATGAGCATGCAAAATACACACACACACACACACACACACACGCATGCACACACGCGTGTGCACACACACACAAAATGTATGTGGAAAACAAAAATTAAAAAATTTAAAGAATTAATGATCACAGGGAGATCAAGTTGTTGATGTAGTGCTTGTGGCAGATGGAGCTGAGGGAATGGTTAGGAGACAGATAACTATGTTGATGAGTAAAATAAGGCTAACGGAGAGGCAGCCATACTATTAACATGCATTGTAACTCGATGTGGTATAACATTTTCTATTTCCAATTTTAGAGCTGCTTTCATCTCTCAGAAAAGATTTAGGATATAATCAAGTGTATACAATCATCGGCACATAGTTGATAAATTTAGAGTGTTCCTTATTATTTACATTGGGTTGAGTTACTAACTTCAGTGTTTGAAAGGTCTTTTATTGCATTTTAAGAGTGGGGTAATCAAATAACAGTAATTTTATTTATTTTTTTCAGTAGTGGGGACAGAACCCAAGGTCTTGCACATGCTTGGCAGTACTCTATCACTGAGCTATGTCTCCAGCCCTCTTCACTGGGTCTTCAAAATAAATTTCTAACCTAAGTATTTAAAATTTTTCTTTTTTTCAGCTGGGCATGGTGCTGCACTCCTTCAGTCCTGGCACTTGGGAGGCAGAGGGTGGTGGATCCAGAGATAGAGGCCTGCCTGAGGGGAGAAGGGGCAGGGCTTATAGAGGACAGGGATTAGGTTTCCAGGGGGTGAGGTTCCCAGCACCCACATGGCCACTAACAACTGTCCTTAATGCCAGCCCCAGAGGATCTGACACCCACTTCTGGCCTCTGCAGGGATTACATACATGTGGTACACTTACATATATGCACGCAAAACATCCATACACACAAAATAAAAATAAATAACATCTTAAATTTTTTTCTTTTTGAGGCAGAGTCTCACTATGTAGCTCAGTTCAGCCTCAAATTCATAATCCTCTTGCATTATCTAGAGTACTATATATACAGGTGTGCATCATAGTGCCCTGGCTGTGATAAATACAGCATGTTCATAATCTACTAAATAAACTTCTAAGAACAGATGGGTTTGGAAGTCTTTGAAATTTAGAAACTGTCATTTACTATGGTTTGTGCGTGAGGTGTCCCCCAAAGGTTTAAGTGCTGAAGGCTTAGTTCCTAGCTGGTGGATCCAATCATTGAGGGTTAATTAGATTATGAGGAAACTACCTTCATCAATGGGTTCATCCACTGATAATTTAATACTGAACGGGTTATTAGAAAGTGGGGTCTGATTGGAGGAAGTAGGCCACTGAGGTTATCTTTGAAGAGTATATTTTTCTGAGTCTCTTCCTGTCTGTGTCCCTCATGAGGCTGAGGAGCTCTCCTCTACCATGTCCTTCCATCATGATGATTGGCCTTACCCAAATCTCCCAAACAAGGGAATGAGCTATGGACTACAATCTCTGAAACTGTGAACCTAAATCTTCAATGCTTTTTTTAAAAAAAAAATTTCGTTATTTTGATTTTATGTGTATGAGTGCATTGCATTATGTGAGTGCACCTGTGCTGTGCAATGCCGTGGAAGTAAGAAGATGGCTTGGATTACCCTGGAACTGCAGTTAAGGATGGTTCGTAGCTGCCGTGTGGGTGCTGGGAATTGAACCTGGGTCCTCTTCAAGAGCAGTTAGTGCTCTTAACCGCTGAGCCATCTCTCCAGCCCCCAAATCTTCAGTCCTTTAAACTGTTTATCTTGGGTACTATTGCATCAAGGAAAATTCTAACATAGACTTTTTCAGAATATAGCACATAAACTATTTTGTAAAATTCTAAAATGGGTACCAGACTAACTTGTAATGAAACACTGATATTTTTGCAAGAAGTGTGCAAAAATTCACACTGAGCAGAATAAAGACCATAAGTAATTTTAGTTTATTTACATAAATAAATTTACCAGTAAGTGAAATTTGTTGTTAAATCTATTGGTAAATGAAACAGGGTAAATATAGATCATATACTCTTCAATCTTTTTTGCTGTTTTTGAAAAACCCTTAAAATCTTCAAAAGTTAAAGGAAATTTACAGAAAAATTTATATACTGATGAAATATATAACATAATGCATACATGCAACAAATGTCCAGCATTTCTGGTTGCTCAAGAATCTTGGAGAAGTTACACAACCGTTACCATTGTCTATGAGTTTAGGTTGGAGCTGGACATTCCATGGGACAGAAGTACATTCTCAGTGCTAAGGAGGTGTTACAGAGTCTTCTAAAATACTTTCCCCAGTGTCATTTGTTTTCTTAACACAGGTTTCTGTCTAAGCAGTTTCTCTTTAATTGAATAAAGTGCCATGATCTCTTGCTCGCTGATAAGTGCACATTGTTTAAGGCCAGCTATTAACTGGTCACACATTTTTATCATTTGGTCTGTAGGTATCTTTTCCCCTGTGCTCACAATGCCATCATCATTACTGCTGCTGTCTTCATGGTGATCTGTATATAGGCCTATCTCAGCAATCTCTCCCTCATACAGAGGATGCACAACGGGCGCATCATTGTCGATGTTCAGCATTTCTTCAATGTCAGCTTCTTCTAATTTATTAACACTTTCGGCTGATAAACTTTTGGCATAAGTAATGAGCTTTGATATCATCATCTTTTCATTAGAGTCTCTAAAGCCTTCAAAATCTTCATCAGTGAGGTCATTTTCAAACATCATTGTAGCCCAAAGCCTGTGCCAAGCCTTTGTTAATGTTGACTTATCAACATCATTCCAAGCATTAGCAACTGCATAGATGGCATCCTTAAGACTAAACTCTTTAAGGAAGTCCTGGATTTTTAGGCCTCTGTTAACTGAAGCAAGCATACTGTTCAAAAAAAAGTGTTTATACTTGCTCTTTAGGGAACGTAAAATTCCTTGGTTACAAGGTTGTATCAAGGACGTCACATTGTGGGGGAGGTAAATGCTGAAAACATTACTTTTCACAAGAAGTTCTGGAGGAGGATGTGCAGAACAGCTGTCTAGGAACAGTAAGATTTTGCAATTTCCTCCTAGTCCAGCCTTCTTGCAATGAATTCGTGCTGCTGGCACAAAGTGTTTATTGAACCAGTCAGAAAAGATTGCTCTTGTTACTGTTGCTTTCTTATTTGCATAGTAATGCACAGGTAAACTGCTCACATCTTTTAAATAACTTGGATGTAGACTTTGCCCAATCACGGCCAATTTTATTTTATGTGTGCCTGCAGCATTAGCACACCCAAGAACAGTTAACCTCTGTTTGGCATCCCTGAAATCTGTTGGTGCTCTTTCATTGGCCATGGTTAAGGTTTTTCTAGGAACATAGCACCAGTAAAGGGCTGTTTCATCAGCATTGTAAATTTGTTCAGGACTGAGGTTTTCATCAGATATGATCTTAGCAAATTCATCAATGTAATTTTCGGCTGTTTCACAATCAGTAGAAGCTTTCCCACTACACATTTTAAGATACTTAATTCCATGTCGCTTTTTAAATTTTTGTAGCCAGCCTTCTGAATATTCACACTCACTTTCAATGTTCAGTTCTTCATGGTATATTCTAGCTTGTTTCATGACCAACAAACTAGTCAGTGGCATATCTTTACTTCTCCGCTGCTGAATCCATTCAATCAATACACGATCCAGATCTTCATTTTTGGCCCTATGCAATGTTTTTCTGTTTTTCATTAGTTCATGGTTATCACTGTCACTGTAAAATTTAAGCAGCTTGTCTTTCTGTTTCTTTAAGTCATATATGGTGGTGGTTCCCACACCATACTCTTCAGTGAGACACCTCACAGTCACACCAGCATCAAGCTTCTGCAATAATTCCACTTTCTGAGCTATTGATAAAGACAAATGTTTCCTCTTCTTCTTCTTTTCACTGTTACCAAGAGGAATATCTTTAACTCTTTTGGACATTTTCCAATGCAATTAATCTTCAAGCTGCAAAATGTCAGTAAATAGAAGGGCGAGTGTGATGGATGGATGTAAGCACTGAAAGATCAGAGGTTCCATGTTTGTTTACAGTTGGTTTTGTTGCCAAATAGTCCAGATGTAAAATGTACAAAACACTTTCGGGTTTCACAGTGTTTTCCACTTTTGTCTTATTTCCCAATTGTGGAATAGAGACTGGGAACCTGTATTAAAGACATCATTTTAATTAGATGAAAACACTGAGGCTCAATGAGACTTACTCAGCATTATGCAGATATTTTTCAGCTGTTTTGCTTATATTCAGTCTATGTGGTCACTTGCCCAGACATAACAAATATTTTTAATTGCCTGACGAGTCAGAATATTTTTAGCAAAAGAACCTGAAACTCTTGGCTGTGTAACTGAAACAGTCAGTAACTGAGCCCCATACCAATTAATATGGAAATGCCTTGGCAAGAAGAGTCTGGAGATCTTAAATTTAGTGATTGAGTATAGAGTTTCTTTTTCGTACCAACTTACCTGTTCAGTATTTATCTGCTTGGTTATGTAGTGCATTACAAAGAGCAATCAGGTAAGAAGATACAAAGTGCTCATTTTAGATATGTTTCCAGTATCCTCATTTTTCTTTTCTTTTCTGAGACAGGGTCTCACTATGTAGCCCTGGATGGCCTGGGACTCACTACATAGACCAGGCTGGCCTTGAACTCATAGAGATCCACCTACTTGTGCTTCTGCCTCCTGAGGGCTGGGATTAAAGGCATATTACACCACGCCAAGCCTAGTATTCCCATTTTTCATTCACAAATTTTTCTTTTTCTAGAAAAGATCTTATACAGCCCCGGTTGACCTGGTATTCACTCTTGGCAATCCTCCTGCCTCTATCCCCACTCCCCCAAATGTGGGGATTACAGGTGCATACCACTATGCTGACTGCTTGGTTTTAAAGTGTTCCATGAATTGTATATCATAAATATGACTCAGAATTATTGTTAATCCAAAATTAAAACTCACTTTAGACATTCCAAATTCAGATGCTTTTTAAAATTTAGAACTCAAAGAATTCATCAGACTTTTAAATGACCACTTTTGTGACCTGGTCCTTATTTCATGTACTATTTTCTGAAAGGCTGAATTTTTCTTCCTCATTTGCATCATCTTTGTATTGGTTTAGAGCCTTATCAAATGGTAATATAGTGATATATTACAAAAGCCTGAAGACCATTCATTCACTCTCGAGTCTCTGTTTTCCCACTGCATACAAGGGCAGTCCTTTTGGCTGAGATGGTGATTAAAAATGAGTCAAGTACATTTCCTTTAATCCCAGAAGAGTGTAAAGTCTGGTACATAAATACAGGAAATGTATAAAATCTAACGAGACAGGAAGAAATCAGATATTTTTGGTGAAGCATGAACACATCTATATGATTTTCCACATTATTCTATTAGATTGTAGCAGTCAAGTATCACCATTTATTTAGTGCCTTCTTTGTGCCCAGCTGTCACAGAGAAACTAGCACCTGGAGCTGGCTTGCACTTTCTCAGCACCAAAAACTTCTCAGTGACAAAGCACAGAAGTGAGTCACCTGTCTGACCATAAAATCCTAATCATTTTCTCCTTATATCAACATACTCTTTCCTCTCCCATGAGTAAACATAATAATGCCTTCATCATAATCTCCTTTCCACTTTATGAAAAAAAGGCATACTGTCATTTATTGGCGATGCACTGCTAGTATGATGTCTTCTTATACTTTTCTGTTCAGGGTGAAGTGTTGCTTTGGAATTAAGGTATTTTGTACCTGGTAGCACTTTCAGAATTAGAATGGCCAGTGGGGATGTCTGCTACTTTTTTTGGGGGGGGGGCTATGGCCAAAGAGATCAATGCTCTTTTAAAAAATATTTTATTACTTATTATATTTATTTATTTATTTTATTTTTATTTTTTGTCTTCTTGAAACAGGGTCTCCTTGTAGCCCCAGCTGTCCTGGAACTCACTATGTAGACTAGGCTGGCCTTGAACTCAAAGAGATCTGCCTGCCTCCCAAGTGCTGGGATTAAAGGTGTGTGCCACCACACCCAGTCTATAAATTTATAGTGACATAAATTTAATTCCAAATTCAGCTTCCCATGTTTTTCAGAGTCTGTAGAAACAGTCCTAGGGAGAACCATTATAGATGAATGATAATTAGACCCAAGTGCTGGGACTACAGGTGTGTGCCACCACACCTGGCTATTATTTAATATTTTATTATAGTTATTATTTCATGTGCATGAGTGTATTGCCTGCATATATGTAAGTGCACCCGTGTCATGCAATGCTCACAAAAGTCAGAAGAGGGCAATGGATTCCCCTGGAACTTGAGCTATGGATGCTTGTTAGCTGCCATGTGGGTGCTGAGAATTGAACTCAGGCTGTCTGCAAAAGCAGCGAGTGCTCTTAACCTACTGAGCATTTCTCCAGCCCCAAGAGATCAATGCTCTTGAGAGTGAGAGACAGTTCCATGATAACAAAACAAAGACAGCTAAAAGTATAAAAAGCTTTAATGAAAAGTTCTACAATGTTTAATGAAAAGTTCTCTTTTAGAAAAGGCTGCAGGCATGCTCTCTGGGGCGTCTTAATCTCTCCTCAAGCACCTCTTCTTTTCACTTAATCCTTGTGCTTAAAGTCCATATTTTAAAAAAGATCTCTTTTAGGGCTGGAGAAATGGCTCAGCAGTTAAGAGCACTAGCTGCTCTTGCAGAGAACCTGGGTTTTGTTCCCAGTACCTGCATGGAAGCTAATGGCTAACAACAGTACTTAACTCCAGTTCCAGGGGATCTGACACCCTCCTTCTGGCCTCTATGAGCATTGCACACACAGGCACACTTATATGCATGCACACAACACACTCATACATATAAGTAATCAAAATAACACATTTTAAAAAATTAGAAAACTCTTAATGAACCTTACCTCACCACAAGCTTGATTTCTCCTTGTTTGTTCTACAGCTCATGCATGTAGTATCCAGAAATAGGGTCTTATTATGAAGTTCTAGTGGGGAACCAAGAGCAGGGGCAATGGCCAGTACTATGGGTCTGTGGGGCCCCTGGTCAAGAGGCATTGGGCTTTTACTTTCTTAGTCTATAGTGTCTAGTAGGGGTAATGTCCCAAAATGTATATATTTTAAGCAGCTTCTATAGTGGTAGGTTTCCATACGGCTGTTTCTAAAGGCTTTGGTGTTGGTCATTCTTCCCTATACTCCCTCCTCTACCCTGCCCTCCTGTTCCCCACCCCATTTAAGCCTTCCTACTCTATTATTCCCCTTTCCTCCTTTACATCACTGTATTCAATAACTCCTCCCTGGAGGCCTCCCCTCCCATGGTCATTTATTAATTTCCTGACCTCTCTGGGTTTTCAAATTGAAGCATACATATCTAAAATCTCAAAGCTAACATTCAGCTATGAGAGAGAACATGTGACATTTGTCTTTCTGGGTCTGGGTTACCGCACTTGGGATGATTGTTTCTAGCCTTAAGTCTCATCTCTACTGGCTAGCTTTCATAGTCACTGTCAAGGTGCTATTCATGCTACCTGAAGAGAAAATTGACCATCAACCTTACTCAGCTATAAATCTTGTGGGACAATGTGCAGAGAACAAGAGGCTACAGCCTGTTTATCCCTGAATAGACATCTGTATCAAACTTCAGCCTCCCAAGGCTTAGGGATCATTGCACAAGAGGGGACAGAAAGATTGTAAGAGTCATGGTGGTGGGTGATCACAAGGAAACAGTTTTCCAGTAGCTGGTCAGTTACTTATATGAAGTCACAGAAATGGTGACAGCATGCTCAAGTCCCATGTAAGCTCAAGCCAGACAAAATCCCAGCACTGAGGTAGAGAAGTGGGTAAGAAACCCCAACGCTACCCTGAGGAACTATTGGCAACCGATGGCAACTGGGAGGAGGATAGTTTTTTTCAAGGGTGTGTCTCTTGGTTAATCAGGCTCCAGTAGATGGACCCACCCGAAGGACATTTGTAGACACAAATTAGATTCCACAGAGGCATATGTATATTAAACAAGACATGAAATTTGGTGGGGGGTATAAGGGGGGGTGAAGACAGGGGATGGGATCTAAATAAGATCAAAATATATTGTATGAAATTTGCAAAAATTCAATTAAAAGGGAAAAATAAATCTCAACTTTCCCTTCAAATAATAAAGCAAACAAAAACAAAAGTTCCATGATAGTAAACAAACTTACAAAATTAAAGAAAGGGGCCCTGAGATGCTTGATGGGTAAAAACAATGACTGTACAAGCCTGATAACTGGAGTCTGATCCCTGAAGCCCAGGGGGATGCAGCGGTGTACATCTGTGAGCCCAGCACTCCCACAGCAAGATGGGAAGCAGAGACAGCAGAATCAGACAGGACTTCAAGTATGCAACACAGTGCCAGAAACAAGAGAGACCCTGCCTTAAAAACACGTGGAAGGCTAGGCGTGGTGGCGCATGCCTTTAATCCCAGCACTTGGGAGGCAGAGG